ATCGAAAATTGGACCTCCCGGATCCGGGCTACCAAGCGGAGCCGCGGTGGTCATTTGAACGATGTTATCTCCCATACTTAATGGGGTCGAATACTCTTTCGAATGAAAAATAAATTTCGTTTCTACCTCACGCACAACTTGTTTTATTCAATTTTAAAGTTCACGCGCCCTTATTGGCGGACCCTTTATTTAGCTTTTTGATGAGATTCTCAAAACGGCTTCGGTCATCCTTTCCTTAGTTTTGAAAAGGAGGTAGAGTAGATGAAAATAATTACAACGCTAAGCTCTGGCTTCTCACTCAGCTTTTAAAAACACTCATCCCAAAAAATCAATATATCTGGTGCATACTGATTGCTAATAACTCTTTCAAAGTTTATCAATAACTCATCGTGGCTTACTTGAAATTGATTATGTAAAACCTATGATATCAAATGGTGATTTTAAATGAAACCAAGGAACCCTATGAACAGGTTTTCAGCTTTCATGGAACTATCTTTGGTTTCATGTCATTCGTGCTTTACGGCAGCACTAGCGCATACAACTTTGTTACTTCATCACTTCAGGGAGGATTTGATGACAAAAAAGATCAAAAATCAAACAGGGTTTATATTATTTGGGACATTGTCTATATATTCTGTTAGTACAATTCTGGTAAATCATATTTATCACTTCCTTATTTCGAATAGGAGATACTGGAATATATAGGAAGCGTAAGGAATTTACTACATGGTAAAAACTGTTGAATCAAGAATTAAAAAGTTCTTCAAGCAGAAATATAATCTAGATCACTTAAGCTGCACATGCAGAGTCATGAAAATTGTGTATTTCTGCACTGCTGATCGGACGCGAGATTTGTCATCAATCGCCAGCTTTAAACGTAGCTGTTGTTACGCGAAGACAGAACGTTGACTTTAAACATTACGTCTATATTAACAGTGAAGAGTTGGAGAAAATGGAAAGGCGGGCAATGAGCGATCCCAAATTTATCATATCCAAGTGTCAACTCGCCCAAACACTACTTGTGCTTACGCTTCATATTAGCGATAGATGCCCTGCTTGATCATTACAAGAAAGCGATGTGCTGCATTGAGGGCATAACATTCCTATGTTACTGCATGATCGATGCTCAAAAGATAAAGAGACAAGACATATAAGTGTCACTTTTTTGAGATGAGACTCTTGAAAGGCGTAGTATAAGCGAAAAGCTCACTGCCGGAAAAATCTCATATATTAACCACCAATGCTTTACCTCTCCTTTGAAGAGGTTCGCACTGTTCATGTTTGAAAAAAGCTAAATTTATAGCTTTTTTTACAACCTTAGCAAAAAAAATTCTTAATTCAATTGGAAAGCATCAGAAACTTGCATTTCTGCGAAACTGTTGAAGGTTTGATCTTACCTCTCAACGCTTTCTTGAAGGGACAATGCGCAGGCCATTTATCTCGACCGTAGAGCTCGTCCACAACAATACAAAGAACAACCGACTTACCACGTTTTCGCAATTGCTCATGTTTAATTAGTATTCTGCGTTAACATGAGAACGATTTTTTGACTTTCATAGGATAAATGAACTAATTTCGTGACAGAGAGAGGAACACACACACATACAAACAAACTTAGCGCTTTGTTATCAATAATGATAATGCTGTAAGTGTGAACAAAGCGAAAAGGGAAATCATTTTACTGCTCTGAAAATTGCGACAACGGTGAACGACTAACTTCATCATCTACCACGTTGGTTCTCAGAGTTAGTCCGCGCAGTAAGAAATCGTCTTCAACAAGAAGTTCCTGAAAATCGCCTTTACTGGCACTTGGGCATGTTTGAGAGAATAGCATAATTCTGATAAAGATCCACGATACATAGAACTTAAAGTTCACAATATATTCAAAACCTTTAGGTGAAACTTCGAGATCAAGAATATCTTTATTCCTATCAAGATTCCTTTAAAAGATTCTTTGTAGAGTATAGATCATATGCATCCACTGGGTAAAGGAGCATTTGGAGCGGTCTATGCTGGACAATATAAAGTAAGTGATGTATTACTTGTTTTTCTCACATCTGCTCGACTGTTACCATTTTGAAGTGAAAAGTCAGAAAAAAAACGGAAAAGGACAAGACATATTGTTGTTTTAGAATGATGAGACTTGTAAGTTCTAAGCAGGGTTTCTTAGAAGACACTATAAAATTAGAGACTTGTTTCAAGAAAAACATTAACATAACTATTTTTCTATCCAATTGAAACATAGACCGAACAAAAGATCAAAAATAAGGGTTCAAGTACTTGAATGCTTACTTGTGCTGTTTCTTAACTGCTAAGATTAAATTGCAGACACGACATGGTGACACTGTGCCCGTGGCTATCAAGAGCCTTCGTCTTGTCTGTACAGATAGAGACCAGAGGCTGCCATGGATAAATGAGATAGAAATGGCGCAAGTATTATTGGACTCCTCATGTTACACAGATGAAAGATGCTTAAGTTTAATTTCAATATGAGCTATTTAGCAACTCAATCATCCTAATATTGTGCGTTTCTACGGATTCTGCATAGAACCTTCGGACAGCAACCTTCTTCTTGTTTTTGAAAAAATGGACCAGGGTGCTCTGGACTCATTCTGCAGGGTATATGCTCCAATTTTTACCAGTATGTTATCGAACTGAGAAGAATAATTCTAGAAGCTGAATTACCAAATGAGCATCAATGAAACTGTTGACTGGCTTTGTCAAATAGCTCGTGGTATGGCCCATCTGCATGCTCAAGAGCCTTCCATCGTACATGGAGATTTAGCGGCTCGTAACGTCTTGGTGGCTAATCATCCTGTCGATAAATCGAGGTTCTGGGGAATTATTGAAGGTTTTCTCTGGCAAAAACTAAAAAATTGTTCTTTCAGATATATTATGAAAATCACAGATCTAGGAATCTCAAAAAGAACCCGCTCAGAAACATTTGCTACTTATGATGATCCAAATAAGATTCCGTTCGTTTACTTTCCCTTCAAACGAGACTCTATATTTACTGTAGGGATTGTTACACTAGCTGGAGGAAAGATGATTTTAATGATTTGTATTCTTTCATTTCATAAAAAAATGAGATCACTCGTCCATTTGATTTATTTTCTCGGGTGTTAGGAGGCAGAACAACTTCCATCTCCCCTCATCTTTCCTCCACTCATCCCGCTCTAGCCCTTACTTTAAGCATAGTTA